AATTGCATGTGTTGTTAGCTTGTTATATAGTTTTATATCATTTTGTTGGAAGCTGCTGAGTTAGTGTATTTGTTTGGTACTAGGAAAAGCATGCTGGTAATAATTGAGTCAACTGGTCATATCGGACTACCCCTAGAGAGTCAACTGGCGAAACCCCATTCTCCCTGACCTTTGGCTCTGAAGTTGTTGTCCCAGTCGAGATCGGCATACCAATGGACAAGGTAGAGCAGTACGAGTCAACAAGGAACGAGGAAGAACTACTCTTTAACCTTGATTTATTAGAAGAAAAAAGGGAAATGGCTCAGCTATGCTTAGCAGAGTATCAGAGCAGAATGGCCAGATATTACAATGCCCGAGTTCGACCTCGAAGCTTCCAAGTCGGGCATTTGGTCTTAAGGAAGATTCAGAGTCGTGTGGGCACCCTCGACCCAAGTTGGGAGGGACCGTTCGAGGTTAAAGGCATAGTCCGACTTGGAACGTATATGCTGGCCGACCTGGAAGGAAATTTGCTTGCGCACCCGTGGAATGCAGAACACCTAAAACGCTATTACCCTTAAAATGTCAAAATGGTCCTAAAATGGACTTGTAAAAATTTTCAAGGGGCGGAACTTTTAATAAATGGAGTTATTTAATTTCATGACTCCGAGTTTGATCAGAAATTAAATGGGGGCCACGGACTCCCATAAGACTTATAAACTGGTAAGGTAAATGTAAGAATTGAATAAATTCAAACCTCAAAACCCACGGGTTCGAGGTGCGATGTCGAAATCAATTATGAACCAAAATCCAACCCTTTGAAAGCTTAAGTTAAAGGTGCAATGTGGAAGGTTCAAGAAATTCAATCCTCTCAACCCACGGGTTCGAGGTGCGATGTGAATATTAATTAGGGGCTCAAAATGCAACCCTTTGACTGTTTAAGTTAAAGGTGCGATGTTAAAAGTTCAATCTTTTAGACTTCCGAGTTCGAAGAGAAATATTAAAGACCAGAGAAGGAAACTCTCAAATTCAAACCCTAAAGACAAATACAAGTAAAAGGGGCGA